GAATGCAATGGGGTGACCTTGGCTCATTGCAACATCCGCCTCTTGGGTGGAAGCAATTCTACTGCCTCATCCTCCTGAGTAGCTGGGATTACAGGCACCCACCACCATGCCTGGCTAAGTTTTGTATTTTCAGTAGAGACGGGATTTCACCATGTTGGTCTTGAACTCCCAACCTTAGGTGATCCACCCGCCTTGGCCTCTCAAAGTGCTGGGATTACAGGCATGAGCCACCACACCTAGCCTGTACTCCTTTATTAATATTCAATTTGTATTATACTTCATTTTTGTCAAGAGTAATTTATTCTGAAATTCAAATTCTCATACATTCTAACAATGAAAACTTCATGAAGAACAAAGAAAAATATTTTAGTTCTAGGGACGAATAACCCCAAATTTTAAATGAATAGAGTTGCTTTCTGGTTTAACAGTCTGTCATGAGCTAACAGATAGTCTTGCCTGAGTAGCAGCCAGTGTCTTTGGAATGTTCCTTATAGTGCTTATGATTTAACTTCAGCACACTCATTGATTCGGGTCTCAAATTCCATGAGCTGTTTTAAATTTATTTTTCTTTGAAACATCTAGTCCAATCTTTTTGTTATTATTATTATACTTTAAGTTCTGGGGTAAATGAGCAGAACATGCAGGCTTGTTACACAGGTATATACATGCCATGGTGGTTTACTGAAACCATCAACCTGTCATTTAACATTAGGTATTTCTCCTAATACTATCCCTCCCCTAACTCTCCAACCCTTGACAGGCCCCAGTGTGTGATGTTCCCCTCCCTGTGTCCATGTGTTTTCATTGTTCAACTCCCGCTTATGAGTGAGAACATGCAGTGTTTGGTTTCTGTTCTTGTGTTAGTTTGCTGAGAATGATGGTTTCCAGCTTCATCCATGTCCCTACAAAGTACATGAACTCATCCTTCTTTATGGTTGCATAGTATTCCATGGTGTATATGTGCCACATTTTCTTTATCCAATCTATCATTGATGGGCATTTGGGTTTGTTCCAAGTCTTTGCTATTGTTAACAGTGCTGCAATAAACATACGTATACATGTGTCTCTATAGAATGATTTATAATCCTTTGGGTATATACCCAGTAACGGGATTGCTGAATTTCCAGTTCTAGAAATGGTATTTCTAGTTCTAGAATTCCTTGAGGAATTGCCACACTGTCTTCCACAATGGTAGAACTAATTTACACTGCCACCAACAGTGTAAAAGTGATTTTTCTCCACCTCATCTCCAGCATCTGTTGTAGCCTGTCTTTTTAATGATTGCCATTCTAACTGGAGTGAAATAGTATCTCATTGTGGTTTTGATTTTCATTTCTCTAATGACCAGTGATGATGAGCTTTTTTTCATATGTTTGTTGGCTGCATAAATGTGTTCTTTTGAGACATGTCTCTTCATATCTTTCATCCACTTTTTGATTTTTTTTCTTGTAAATTTGTTTAAATTATTTGTAGATTCAGGATATTAGCCCTTTGTCAGATAGACAGATTGCAAAAATTTTCTCCCATTCTGTAAGATGCCCATTCATCCTGAAAATAGTTTCTTCTGCTGTGCAGATGCTACTCAATTTATGAATTTGGCCTTTGTTGCCATTGCTATTGGTGGTTTAGTCATAAAGTATTTACCTATGCCTATGTCCTGAATGATATTGCCTAGGTTTTCTTATAGGGCTTTTATGGTTTTAGGTCTTACATTTAAGTCTTTAATCCATCTTGAGTTAGTTTTTGTATAAGGTTTAAGGAAGGGATTCAGTTTCAGCTTTCTGCCTATGGCTAGCCAGTTTTTCCAATACCATTTATTAAATGGGGAATTCTTTCCTCATTGTTTGTGTTTTTGTCAGGTTTGTCAAAGATCAGATGGTTTTTGACGTGTGGTGTTATTTCTGAGGCCACTGTTCTGTTTCATTGGCCTTTATATCTGTTTTGGTACCAGTACCATGCTGTTTTTGTTACTGTAGCCTCGTGGTATAGTTTGAAGTCAGGTAGCATGATGCTTCCAGCTTTGTTCTTTTTGTTTAGGGTTGTCTTGGCTATATAGGCTCTTTATTAGGTCCATATACATTTAAACTGTCTTTTTCTAATTCTGTGAAGAAGTCATTGGTAGTTTGATGGGGATAGCATTGAATCTATAAATTACTTTGGGCAGTACAACTATTTTCACAATATCGGTTCATCCTATCCATGAGCACAGAATGTTTTTTCATTTGTTTGTGTCCTCTCTTATTTCCTTGAGCAGTGGTTTGTAATTCTTGGAGAGGTCCTTCACCTCCCTTGTAAATTGTGTTCCTAGGTAATTTATTCTTTTTGTAGCAATTGTGAATGGGAGTTAACTCATGATTTGGCTCTCTGTTACTGGTGTATAAAAGTGCTTGTGATTTTTGTACATTGATTTTGTATTCTGAGACTTTGCTGAAGTTGCTTATCAGCTTAAGGAGATTTGGGGCTGAGACGATGGGGTTTTCTAAATAGACAATGATGTCACTTGCAAACAGAGATAATTTGACTTTCTCTTTTCCTAATTGAATACCCTTTATTTCTTACTCTTGCTTGATTGCCCTGGACAGAACTTCCAATAATATGTTGAATAGGAGTGGTGAGTAAGGGTATCATTGTCTTGTACTGGTTTTCAAAGGGAATGTTTCCAGTTTTTGCCTATTTAATATGATATTGATTGTGGGTTTGTCATGAATAGCTCTTATCATTTTGAGATATGTTTCATCAGTGCCTAGTTTATTAAGAGTTTTTAGCATGACGGGTTGTTGAATTTTGTCAAAGGTGTTTTCTGCATCGATTGAGATAATCATGTGGTTTTAGTGGTTGGTTCTGTTTATGTGATGGATTACATTTATTGATTTGCACTTGTTGAACCATCCTTCCATCCCATGGAGAAAGCTGACTTGATAGTGATGAGCAAGCTTTTTTTGATGTGCTGTTAAATTTGGTTTGCCAGTATTTTATTGAGGATTTTTGCATGGATGTTCATCAGAGATATTGCCCTGAAATTTTCTTTTTTTATTCTGTTTCTGCCAGGTTTTGGTATCAGGATGATGCTGACCTCATAAAATGAATTAGAGGATTCCTTCTTTTTCTATTTTATTGAAATAGCTTCAGAAGGATTATTACCAGCTCCTCTTTGTACCTCTGGTTGAATTTGGCTGTGAACCCATCTGGTCCTGGACTTTAATTGGCTGGTAGGCTATAAATTACTGCCTCAATATTTTAGAATTTGTTATTGGTCTATGCAAGGATTTGACTTATTCCTGGCTTAGTCTTGGGAGACTGTATGTGTTCAGAAATTTATCCATTTCTTCTGGATTTTCTAGTTTATTTGTGTAGAGGTATTTATAGTATTCTCTGTTGGTAGTTTGTATTTCTGTGGGATCAGTGGCGATATCCCCTTTATCATTTTTTGCTGCATCTATTTGATTCTTCTCTCTTTTCTTCTTTATCAGTCTCACTAGTGGTCCATTTTGTTGATCTTTTTCAAAAAACAGCTCCTGGATTCATTGATTTTTTGAAGGGTTTTTTTTGTGTCTCTAGCTTCTTCAGTTCTGCCCTGATCTCAGTTATTTCTTATCTTCTGCTAGTTTTTGAATTTGTTTGCTCTTGCTTCTGTAGTTCTTTTAATTGTGACGTTATGGTGTCAATTTTAGATCTTCCTGCTTTCTCTGTTGGGCATTTAGTAGTATAAAATTTCCCCTACATGCTGCTTTAAAAGTGTCCCAGAGATTATGTTGTTTCTTTGTTCTCATTGGTTTCAAAGAACATCTTTATTTCTGCCTTAATTTCGTTACCAGTAGTCATCCAGGAGCAGGTTGTTCAGTTTCCAGGTAGTTGTGTGGTTTTTAGTGAGTTTCTTAATCCTGAGTTCAAATTTGATTGCACTGTGGTCTGAGAAACAGTTTGTTATGATTTCCATTATTTTGTATTTTCTGAGGGGTGTTTTACTTCCAATTATGTGGGCAATTTTAGAATAAGTACAATGTGGTGCTGAGGAAAATGTATATTCTGGGGATTTGGGGTGGAGAGTTCTGTAGATGTCAATTAGGTCCACTGGGTCCACAGCTGAGTTCAGGTGCTGGATATCCTTGTTAATTTTTTGTCTCATTAATCTGTGTAATATTGGCAGTTAGGTGTTAAAGTCTCCCACTATTATTGTGTGGGAGTCTATGTTTCTTTGTAGGTCTCTAAGGACTTGCTTTATGAATCTGGATGCTTCTGTATTGGATGCATATATATTTAGGACAGTTAGCTCTTCCTGTTGCATTGATCCCTTTTCCATTATATAATGCTCTTCTTTGTCTCGTTTAATCTTTGTTGGTTTAAATTCTGTTTTCTCAGATACTAGGATTGCAACCCTTGCTTTTTTTCACTTTCCATTTGCTTGGCAAATACTCCATCCCTTTATTTTTAGCTGTGTATTTTTGCATGTGAGATGTGTCTCCTGAATACAGCACGCCAATGGGTCTTGATTCTTTATTTGTGAATTTGTGTAGTTTAAATGGGGCATTTAGCCTGTTTACATTTAAGCTAAATATTGTTATGTGAATTTGATCCTTTCATTATGATGCTAGCTACTATTTTGCCTGTTAGTTGATGCAGTTTCTTCATAGTGTCGATGGTCTTTATGATTTGATAAGTTGTTGCAGTGGCTGGTACTGGTTGTTCCTTTCTGTATTTAGTGCTTCCTTCAGGAGCTCTTCTAAGGCAGGCCTGATGATGACAAAATCTCTCAGCATTTGCTTGTCTATAAAGGATTTTGTTTTTCCTTTGCTTATGAATTTTAGTTTGGCTGGATATGAAATTCTGGGTTGAAAATTCTTTAAGCATGTTGAATATTGTCCCCCACTCTCTTCTGACTGGTAGGGTTTCTGCCAAGAGATCTGCTGTTAGTCTGATGGCCTTCCTTTCATGGGTAACCTGATCTTTCTCGCTGGCTGCTCTTAACATTTTTTCCTTCATTTCAACCTTGGCAAAATTGATGATTTTGCGTCTTGGGTTTTTCTTCTTGAGGAGTATCTTTGTAGTGTTCTCTGTGGTTCCTCACTTTGAATATCGGCCTGCCATGCTAGGTTGAGGAAGTTCTCCTGGATAATATCCTGAAGAGTGTTTTCCAACTTGGTGTACCTGTCACTTTCAGGTACACCAGTCAAATGTAGATTTAGTCTTTTCACATAGTCCCATATTTCTTGGAGGCTTTATTCATTTCTTTTTACTGTTTTTTCTCTAATATTTTATTCTCTCTTTATTTCATTAAGTTGATGTTCAATCTGTGATATCCTTTCTTCTACTTAATTGATTTGGGTATTTTTACTTTTGTATGCTTCATGAAGTTCTTGTACTCTGTTTTTCAGCTCCATCAGGTCATTTATGTTCCTCTCTAAACTGGTTATTCTAGTTAGCAATTAGTCTAACTTTGTTTTCAAGGTTCTTAGCTTCCTTGCATTGGGTCAGTACATGCTCTTTTAGCTCAGAGGAGTTTGTCATTACCCTCCTTCTGAAGCCTACTTCTGTCAGTTTGTCAAGCTCATTTTCCATCCAGTTTTTTTCCCCTTGCTGATGAAGAGTGGTGATCCTTTGGAGAAGAAGTGGTGTTCTGGTTTTTTGAATTGTCAGGCCTTTTGTGTTGGTTTCTCCCCTTTTTTGTGGATTTATCTACCTTTGTCTTTGATGTTGGTGACTGTTGGATGGGCTCTCTGAATGGAAGTCCTGTTTGTTGATGTTGATACTATACCTTGCTGGTTGTTAGTTTTTCTTCTAATAGGCCCCTCTGCTGCAAGTCTGCTGAGGTGGCTAGAGGTCCACTCCAGACCATTTACTTGGGTATCACCAGCAGTGTCTGCAGAACAGCAAATATTTCTGTCTGTTCCTTCCCTGGAAGCTTTGTCCCAAAGTGTCACCTGCCAGATGCCAGCCAGAGCTCTCATGTAGGAGGTGTCTCCCAGTCAGGATACATGTGGGTCAGCGACCCACTTGAGGTGGCAGTCTGTCCCTTATCAGAGCTTGAACACTGTGCTGGGATATCCGCTGCTCTCTTCAGAGCTGACAGGTAGGGATGTTTAAGTCGGCTGAAGCCGCTCCCACAGCCACTCATTCCCCCAGGTGCTTTGTCCCAGGGAGATGGGTTTTTATCTATAAGTCCCTGACTGGGGCTGCTGCCCCTTTTTTCAGAGATGCCCTGCCCAGAGGGGAGGAATCTAGAGGTGCAGTCTGGCCACAGTGGCCTTGCTGAGCTGCAGTGAGTTCCACCCAATTTGAAGTTCCTGGGGGCTTTGTTTACTCTGTGAGGGTAAAATCACCTTGACTCAAGCCTCAGCAATTGCTTATATCCCTCCACTCACCAAGCTCAAGTGTCCAGGTCAACATCAGACTGCTGTGTTGGCAGTGAGACTTTCAAGCCAGTGGATCTTAGCTTGGTGGGCTTCATGGGGTTGGGACCAGCTGAGCCAGATCACTTGGCTCTTTTGCTCCAGCCTCCTTTCCAAGGGAGTGAAGGATTCTGTCTCACTGATGTTCCAGGCACCACTAGGGTATGCAAACAAACAAACAAACAAACAAACTTCTGCAGCTTAGCTCAGTGTCTGCCCAAACAACTGCCCAGTTTTGTGCTTGAAACACCCAGGGCCCTGGTGGCATAGGCACTGGAGGGAATCTCCTGGTCTGTGGGTTGTGAAGACCATGGGGAAAAGGGCAGTATCTGGGCCCAAGTGCACAGTTCCTCACGATCCATTCCCTAATGGTTTCCCTTAGATAGGAAAGGGAGTTCCCTGACTCCTTGCACTTTCTGGGTGAGGCAATGCCCCACCCTGCTTCAGCTCGCCATCTGTGGGCTGCACCCTGTCTAACCAGTCCCAATGAGACAAACTTGGTATCTCAGTTGGAAATGTAGAAATTACCTACCTTCTGCATTGATCTAGCTGGGAGCTATAGACTAGAGCTGTTCCTATTCAGCTGTCTTGTCAGCCACTGAACTTGGCAAAAGAAGTCCAATCTTAATCTTTACTCACATGGCATTTACTATGGCATTTTGAAACAAACTGAAAAACACTATATTCAGCTTATTTGAGCTTTCTGTTACGTTAGAACCTTGAACTACTGCTCACTCTATTCTTAGATCTTTTCAAAACTTTACGTATTCCAGGTCAAGTGTCAACTCTTTTGAGGATTTTCTTGACTACTCTTGTTAAATGACCACTCATTCCCATCCCCAGTCACTAGTGCATAGACAAATGACTGACACTAACTGGGGTCAGTGAATATTTACTAAACTAAATCATTAAATCAATGAATTAGTTCTGGCTTCTATAGCACATTTGAAGAATGATAGTTAACAATTTCTATATAACATGTATTTATAAATTTTCATGTTTTAGGTAAACATTGCTTAAAAGTTATAGATAATCCCTAAATATTTTCCTATGATTTATATAATGTATAAATTCATACTATCTTTTATTTGAAAACAGGTGATTTTTGGCCTCTAAATAGTTCACTTGTTAATGAATTCTTCAGTGATTCTCAAAGTGTGATCCCCAAAACAGTAGCATTAGCATCACCTAGAAATCTATTAATCAGGTATATTTGAGGCCCTACACTGGAAACACTGAATCAGAAACTCTGAGAGTAGGGTACAGTTATCTGTGTTTAAACAGACTTTCCAAGTAACTCTTGTCAACCAGTCTTACCTAATCAAAAATCTAAATTGATACCTATGGCTGTTACAGTTAAAATAGTAGCATTGTCATTGGAATCTATTTGGATTTCTTTAATGATTTTGGAAACTTTTGATATAATTGTAGAAAATCAATCTTAGATCACTTCTAATTTATAATTCCATTCATAGGCTTGACATCTCAGACTGATCCAAGCGCCCTATACCTAATTTCTCAGCTAAAAGTCAATGTAGACATGAATTCATTTCTTACTACATGGATAAAAAGCTATTTCCCATAACATTTCTTTGGTATGAAACAGTAAAAAAAAAAAAAAATGAATCAGAAATGACAATAAGGCAGTACCTATTTATCAACCTTGCTGTCATTTCTTAAATATCATTTTCACAAATATGTTGTTACAGAGCTCTGGTAGAGGACAAAGTGATGATTTGGCAAGCAACGAAAAGACCCTCAAATGTCAGGGAAAATATTTTATTCCAGAATTATAACAGATATATGCTATGAATAAATGTTTGAAATTCAGATAATATATGTCACCTTTCTTTTGTGGCACAAAGATAATAGAATTATGAGATAGAAACTTCATTGTTTTTACACCACAACAAAAATATGGGCCTGTATTAAGAAGGGAAAAAGTAGCATATATTATTGAAGAAACAGGAGCCGGTGATTGAATACTCTCCTGCTTTTATCTCCACCTGTAGTGAACTCGCTTGTACTCTTCTTGCCCTACAAACAGAACTGCAATCTGCCATGCAGTTATTACCTAACCTTTGCAAGCTGCCTGTGTTTTCAAAACATTTCTGCTCAGTAACATAGTATACATAAAGAAGATAGTTACTAATGCATTCAGGCACATTTTCTAGTACAGGCAGAAATGCTTGACTCTTAAAATGATATTATTTTCCCTACTTCATATACCTGGATTGTATCTTCTAATGGAAATGAGGAAGAAAAAATCAAAATAACAATGATTTAAATCATTTAGAAATAAATAGGATCATTGCATACAAATATATAAAAAAGACTAATAACTTTTTGAATAGGAATATGTACACGAATAGATTTTTAAATGATGAAATGAAGATCATTAGTATGTAGGAAAATATAGTTTATGAAAATAGGAACTTAAAAAAGTTTTCTTTTTAATGTAGAATATAAGCTCATCCTTTTACACCACCTTATATATATTTCATTTCAATGAACTATAATTCATTGAGAATTATGTCTTCCACTTGATTGGCCTAGCAATTTCTTATTAAAATTTTAAGACTGTACATGGAAAGTGTATTTACTATTATGAAAATATATTTTATGTATTAAAAATATTTACAATATCAATTGTATCAAAATATATTTCTTAGAAATTGCTTTTAAATTATAGGGCATACATCTAGAAAGAGGGCATAATTTGATTCTTCTCCTGAAAAAAATATCAGCATGTAGTTCTCTTGGTCAAAGCATAAATCTAATATGGCTTGAATGATGCCTTTGTGGCAGATTAGACACTTTTTTTTGAAATATTACAATGCCTTCTAAAACTTTTGGCCTTCAAGAAAGGAACTATTTCAGTTACTAATTACTATCAAAATTTAATTAGTCATTTTTGACTACTAAAGCAGGAAAACACACATAATAATTTTAAAGTTGTAATCATTGCTTTGCCCTTTGTACCCATGAGTTCTGCACCCACAAATTCACTCAATCATGGATTAAAGTATTTTGAAAATTAAAATTAAAAATACAAATTAAATAATACAGCATAACAGCTATTTGCATAGCATTTACATTGTATTATGTATTGGAAATAATCTAAAGAGATTTAAAGTGTTTGAGAGGTTGTGCGTAGATTATATGCAACTACTATACCATTTTATGTAAGGGACTTGAACCTTAGTTGATTTTGGTATGAGGATGTGGGATTCCTGGAACCAGTTGCCCTGGGATGCCAAGGTATTTCAACTGTATTTCATGGTAATTATAGATGTTTTTAGGTCTGCTCTTAGATTTTTTTTCTATGGGGATTGATTATTGTTGTATAATGTTACTATAAATATTTTAATCATTTCGTAGTAACTGCTGAATATATATATAACTAAAATATGTGATTGTGAAATCTTGATGTACATAAACCAAATATACATGTGCTTAAAGAGGCTATTTCTATTTTTAATGGTATATAGGCCATTATTAAATAAACTACTAATTTAAAAATAGAGTCGGCACAACTCCTTACAAAATAAATATAGGAGATATATATATATATATATATATATATATATATATATATATATATATATTTGCCTTGGAATAGTAATAGAAAAAGTAGGATTTGTTACATTGTGGGAAACTAAGGTAGCATTATAGTTTCAATTTTGTTAGAAATTTAAGTTCTTATTTTTACTTTTTTTTTTTTTTTGGTAGTGTATGTTTAAAATACCTCCAACCTTGGGAGACATGAGTCCAGAGGCAGCAGGAAGGATGCACTCACTCAGTAAATACACAAGGCATGCTTTGAACTCAAGGGAAATTAATTTGCACAATTCTTACTGATATTTTGTTGTGCAAAAAGTTTTCTGTATTGAAACACATGTGGTCAAAGAGTCATGCTGCAGAATAATCGAGAAACTAAGTTATTTGTATGTTATCAAATAAAGTAAAAGTTCTAATGGAACAGATAGTAAGTCAGGGAATGGGTGCTTCACTACCAACTATTTAAACAACTATTTAAGTTAACCAGGATGGTTATTTATCTAATTTTATTTAGGTTATTATTTTTCAATAGTTTGTAGTTACACAAAGGAAAGAACAAAGCCATATAGCTGCTCAATATAATATTACATATCTCTCAGATTTTCTATAATTTTAATTTTCTCTACATGGAATTCATTCATATTAATTTATTCACTTGCATATCACTAAATATTGTATCAGGTTGAGTATAAATTCTATATGTATGTCTAGTGATGTTGTACATTATATATAACATTTAATTATATGTCATAATGAAAACAACATGACTTTTTAGAGTAAAAATAGTTTCAAATTTTATATTTGTTTCAAATATGCACAGATATGGCATGATATACATATCTGAAATATTTTATGCTATTGTGGAATTACTTTTAGGAGAAATCATAGACAAAATATAAAATTAATTAAAAAATATGTTCATTTGAAATGATTGCTTGTGATTTAAGAACTAGTTTATAGAAAGGATTTAGAAATAATTTTTTTCTCATACCTCAATATGTGCTTCTTTTTCATAATTTTGAGAATATAATTCAAGAGGAAAAAAATTTAGGGTGCTCAATCAATATTTTCCATTTATTTGTTCACATTAGCAGTTATCCAAGAATTAAGAGTTAAGTGGACATTTGCCTATTATCAAATAAAATTATTTATATTTCTTTTTTTTAATTTAACTTTATGTGTATACTATATCCAGCATTTCTCCCCATGTTTTCCCTTCCCACTCTTCTCACCCTCCCCACCCTCCTCACCTTCCCCACCCCTCGCTGTCCCCCCCAACCCCCCCAACTGCCCCCAGTGTGTAATGCTCCTCTCCCTGAGTCTACATGTTCTCATTGTTCAACACCCACCTATGAGTGAGAACATGTGGCATTTAGTTTTCTGTTCTTGTGTCAGTTTGTTGAGAATGATGGCTTTCAGATTCATCCAAGTCCCTACAAAGGACAAAACTCATCATTTTTTTTCTGGCTGCATAGTATTCCATGGTGTATATGCACCTCATTTTCTTTTGTATTCTTTGCCATTACATATGGCAGTTATTTTTATGTGATTTTTAAGTCAGTTTTTCAACTCAATTCCAATTATTCATGGATCACTAAATATGAATTTTCTATAACCAATCCAACTACCAAATCATGATAGAAATTCTTAATGCAGTAAACATTTAATGAGAAACTACCATGTGTCAGACATTATTTTAAGTCTTGGAGATTGATATGGTTTGGATTTGTGTCCCCACCTAAATCTCACATCGAGTTGTAATCCCCAGCATTGGAGGAGGAGCCTGGTGGGAAGTAATAATTGGATCATGAGAGCAGACTTCCCCCTTGCTGTTCTCCAGATAGTGAGTTCTCACGAGATTTGATTGTTTAAAAGTGTGTAACACCTTGCCCAGCTCCTTATTCCTCCTGCTCCAGCCATGTAGGATGTTCCTGCTTCCCATAATTCTAAGTTTCCTGAGGCCTCCTCAGCCAGGCTTCCTGTACAGGCTGCAGAACCATGAGTCAATTAAACCTCTTTTCTTGATACATTACCCAGTCTCAGGTAGTTCTTTATGGCAGTGCTAGAATGAACCAATACAAAGATACAACAGTAAAATAAACAAAGTCCCTGCAGTCATAGACTGTACTGCATTGTAGTAAGGGTCAGAGGATAATAGGTTGAAAGACTAAACAAACATAACATTTGTTAGGAAGTTATACATACAAAAGACAGGCAATACTGATGGGAATGTAAATTAATATGGCCACTATAGAGAGCAGTTTAAAGCTTCCTCAAAAAACAAAAAATAGAACTAACATATGATCTAGCAATCCCACTGCTAGGTATATACCCCAAAGAAAGGAAATCAGTATATGGAACAGGTATCTGCACTCCCATGTTTATTGCTGCACTATTCACAATAGTCAAGATTTGGATTAATCAACAGATGGATGGATAAAGGAAGTATGGTACATATACATGATGGAGTATTACTCAGCTGTAAAGAAGAAGAGATCCTGTCATCTGTAGCAACATAGATGAGACTGGAGGACATTATGTTAACTGAAATATAACAGGCCCAGAAAGATAAACTTCACATGTTATTATTCATTTGTGGGAGCTAAAAATCAAAATAATTGAACTCATGAAGATTGGAAGTAGAATGATGGTTACCATAGGCTGGGAAGGGTATTGGGGTGGGAGGAAGTAGAGTTAATGATACAAAAATATAGTGAGATAGAATGAATAAGATCAAGTGTTTAATAGCACAACAGTTGTGCTACAGTTGCCAGTGTGGCTACAGTTAACAGTAATCTATTATGTGTTTTAAAATAACCAGAAGAGTAGAATTGGAATGTTTGCAACATGAGGAAATGATAAATGCTTGAGGCAATCGATACCCCATTTACCCTGATGTGATGATTACACATTGTATGCCTATATCACAATATCCAGGGACTCCTTATATATGCACCTACTATATACCCATAAAAAATAAAAATTAAAAAAAAAGACTAATAGTGATTATAATTTATAGTGTAACATCCATTATCTAATGTAATTAAATTATTTTTCACATGAACCGTATGAAGTAAATACTACTATTATATGCATTTTACGTATGAAGGAAACGTGGCTTAATAAAATTAAGTAATTTGCTTGAATGTATATAACCAGACAATGATGGAGACATGATTTTATCTCCACTGCTCATCAAATAAAATGAAATTTTCTCACATAAAAAGTTAGGTCCTTCCACATGGAGCTTAAGTGTAATCTAGACTGAGCAAGCTTCATGTGCCCTCTCCATCACCTATTAAATTAGGGGTCAGAGGCAAGTTATCCAATGTGTGACTCAGTAAACTTCTGTAAAATTAATACCTTCCTCAAAATTAAATGAGAAAATGCACACAAAATACTTTAAACGGAGCTTTGTATATGACAGGAACTTAGATGTCAGCTATAATCATTACCTCAGTATTAACATATACATCAAATAATGCATCAAAATTAAGAAAGATTTATGTGTAAATCATATTTTTGTTAAATTATAGGAATATATGCTCAAGATATTAGTTGGCCACAGCATAGGTAAAGCTATGCCATATCAATATACCAAAACCATATGTGAGCATTTTAGAAAACTTATTTACCTTTTCTCTTTTTCTAAAATGCATGTTTCCTTATAGTTATAGCTTTAAAAATGTCTAAATAAAACTATCAGTATTCTTTGGCCAGTAGGAGCTGAAGAATATGTTTTCCTATTATTAAAGAATAAAACTTTTACTCATGTGACTATCTGACCAGATGGATCAATAGATGGAAATGTTTACAATGGCAATGATAAATGGTAAAAATATTACTATTTACAATACTTCATGTTATTCAAATGCGCTACTCATCAGAAAAAAAAATTCAACTTATGGCTATTAAGAAATAATAGAGGAGTAGAATAAGTGATTGCTAATAGTTTTTTTGTTTTTGTTTTTGTTTTTTGTTTTTTTGTTTTTGTTTTTTTTTTTTGCAATGCAGTAATATATCTAATGATAGCAGCTTCTATTAGGAAAAATAAAGTGGTATTTATGAATTTTGTAAATCATAATCTCTGGCCAGGTTTTTAATATACTTGTGATATGTACCATTATGTAATTAGAATAATTTTTATTTCTTTCTGTCAGTCTGCTCTTATCTCCTATAGGATAGGATGGCTTTTATTTTAGGAATGTATTATAAAGGCTGGATTTTTTAAAAAGCTTGTCAACACCATTTTGACTCCACTGTCTGTAGGAATATAAATACAGTGTAACTGGAACATAGAATGGCTGGAAGCATAATCTTCAATTTACTACTGCCTCAAATCTATGAAAAGCCCAAAAGAAAGTGCTTAATCTTTTCTTCAAATAAAATCCTATAAAGAGTCAAATTTACGCACACACGTGCACACACAAACATACACACATTTTTTTATAAAGTGCTCTTTGAGATCTGGGTAAATAAGTACTGCTCTCTCTTCCCAGGGATTCTCCAGGGCAATTCCAGGTCTCTGTAGAGCGACCTCTTCATTTGATACTCTGCAGCATATCCCTGGATAAGTCCAGCTGTCAGAGACCTATGTACTTTGACTATAAAGTGTTGGCTACGTGTAGCTCCATGCTTTGTGTTGATGTTATGGTGTGAACTTAAGAACATTATAAGAAGCAGCTTATTATTAAACCTATAGCAGAGATGTTGTTGAAAATGGTTATGGATTTACACCATGAGAATCTTCAGGGAGCAATTTCTCTCTGGTCTAAGGCTTTTCATGAATAATTTTCTGATTGAGGGAGGAGAGGATAGTCTTCATAGAGGCAGTGATCTTTGAACTTGGCAATTTTGTGATGAATTATTTTATAGGGTCATTTCTGAAAGGGGAAATTTATAGATTTGAGAAAATATATGATTAGTTTAGGGAATAAGTGATTTTGTGTTCTGATACCATTGAATGTGTGAAATAATGTTATATGAAGTAGAACTAGACACATGAGTTCTCATTTTACGTAGTGTAGATTATTTTGTGTGTTCTATTAAAAGGCTGTGAGAAGCAAACTCATAATGATAGGGTATCTCTGAAAGCAATATGAAGTACTCATAAATATTGCCCTCAAGTAGTACAGTTTGTGGGCAAGATAAGTTTTCCATAAAAGTAAATGTAATTAAATATGGAAAGTGTGAAGGATGTGTCTTATATGAGGAATTTTATTCATCTTAACAGAGAACTAGATTCTTATTATGTCGGATTTATACACACACACATAAATATTTCTCTCTCTCTCTCTCTATACATATATATATATATATGTGTATATATATATATACACATTAAACATAGCATTTTCCTGTTACCTTCTGAGAATATAACTCATCTTTTTTATCACGTGATAAAGAATACAAGGGTAGATAATTAAATCTAAAACAGGAAGTCAGTAAGTGTGTGTATTATTAATGAATGGTTAGTGAGGCATAAGTTATTTTTCAAGATACCTAATTTGTACATGTTCAAGTTCTAAATGTGTTTATTAAGAAATAAAATGTGAAAGTATTCTTTTAAATCAAATATTTATTACAATGAAACCATTAATATTTTTCAATTATAATTTAAAAGGCAATAATTATGGAATTCTTATCATTTTATTTTTCTTAGGAATTAATAATCATCATTATGCAAGCACATCATTCTCATAGCCAATTTACACAGTCTTTCTACATTTTTCACTAGCCTGTTTACTGTCACTTGCATGTTAGCATGTCTTTCTTTGACTCATATCTAATTCTAGTTATTATTTCTAATCACATATATTGGATACACAAAACACATGGAGTAAAGTTTTAAGAACTGTCCAGAGGAAGATAGAACCTCCTAAGAAGACTATCAATGCACTTTAAAATATCGTAATTTCATTTTAATCTCAATTTATTCCTTATCAATAAAATAAATGTCATTTTTTTTTCTAGATATCATAAATATCTATTTAAAAAAAAAAGAATTGAGCCAAATAAGTAATTCTCAGAAATACTGAAAGTTAGCAAGGCATGATAACTTCCACTCTGTGGTTCAATATTATTATATTATCTTTCCACAGGGGAGCACATTTCAGATTCTGACTATATACTATGGTCTGAGTATGTCCTCTGAAATTCATATGTTAAAACTTAATTGCCAATGCAATAGCATTGAGAGGTGGGGACTTCACAAAATGAAATGTGTGGCTTTATAAAAGATATTGAAGAGAGCACTTTAGAGGAGCAACAAGATGCCATCTTGTAAGGAAAGAGCAGCCGGCACCAAACTGGCCTTTTGACCTTTGACTCCCTAGCCCCCAAACTGTATGAAAAATGTTTATGTCATTTGTAATTACCAGTCAGGTATTTTGTTACAGCAGCACAAAGAGACTAAGACAATGTGCAAATGTGAACTAGCAATGGGCAACCCACTAGAATAGCAAAATCACATTTTATCTATATTTCGAATGATACAATATCTCTCCATGCGATTTCTGCTCATAAGTTCAAATATGGTTTGTAATGAGTATGATAAAATACACATATAAAGTTTTCGTGACTCTTTAATTCATGTAATTGGGAACTTTACCCAAAATTACCTTAAAATATCATCTGTTCTATATTTTATATATTTTAAAAATGCGTTCTATATAGTAATTGCCAGTATATTTTATTACAAAAAGAGGACTTAGAAATATAAGCCTTAGTATATGCATATAGCTTATTTGGATAAATATTCAATAGAATATCACATAGCTTACAAATTATCAATAAATATGTTCCCACACTTAAAAAATTATTTTTCAATGCTAAAATTTCCAGATAACATGGAAGAGGTTTATTTTATTTCATAGTAATGCTTGATGATTTATTTCTTCAACCTTAACAATCAGTTTGAATTTTAAAGGAACATCTCTCAATCTAATCTTTATAAAAAACAGATTAAAGCTAACTGCATGATTTTTATTTCATCAAAATGGTTAGTTTTCAAAGGAATAGGTCATTTTAAAAAATGTCATTAATTTATTTTATGGGACATATGGCTTAATATTATACTCTAGGCAGCATTCCATAGGACGTTTTCTTAAAGTGTTTAAGGCTCAAATATTTAAATGCCTGTATCACGTTGTTGTGTGGCTTTTTGACTGACTCAACTCCTGTGTTTGTTTTCTTTCAATTCCAGCAAAATGTGGGGAGTTAAATTAAATGAGTTTGCATGTATGTTTGTGTGTAAGAATTTTTGAGGAAAAAATATTTTGGCTGGCGATGGTGGTTCACACCTGTAATCTCAGCATTTTGGGAGGCCAAGGTGGGCAGATCCTGAGGTCAGGAGTTCGAGACTAGCCTGACCAACATGGTGACACCCTGTCTCTACTAAAAATACAAAACTTAGCTAGGTGTGGTGGTACACACAGGTAATCCCAGATACTCAGGAGGCTGAGGCAGGAGAATTGCTTGAACCTGGGAGGTGGAGACTGCAGTGAGCCGAGATTGTACCATTGCACTCCAACCTGGGCAACAGAGCAAGATTTCATCTCAAAAAAATAAAAAAAGAAAAGAAAAAATATTTTAACTTGTGTACTTTAAGTTCTGTAATTATGATTAGAATAGTTATCAGATACATATGACCCTACTTGAATGAATTTGTTCCTGGTGTTAAATGAGGAAAAGACAGTCATTATGTATATATATACTTATATATATAATGCAAACTATACATGTTTTTTGTATATTGTTGAGGCATATATGTACTTAAAATTGACAAACTGGTAAAAACCATTATTCTGAAAAAATTATCACTGTTTGGGTTCAGATATTGCTTCTTTGATGTTTCTAGTTCTAGAAAGCTTATTTTGTACCTCATACCTTTCTTGTCTTTCACTTTTAGAGCTTGAAACTTATTTTATTAGGGCCATTTTACCAGTGAATAATTATTTTTTACTTGTTCCTTAAAATTTTAACTAAAAAAAAAATTAAAGCAATATGATATCTGTAAAACATCTGAAAGAATGGTCTAAATATTCTTTTTTGGTTCATTTATTTCAATTGTATGAGTCATTCCTTCAGTTATTATTCAGATATCAATTTTAACATTTTGGTTTACAAGCAGAAATTTAGAAATATTTTCCTCAGAACCATATCGTTTGTCAGGATTATGTTCAATGAATGAAAATATAAATAATAAAGTAAGACATTAACTTTATCAATACTGGTCTATTATCTTTCCCTCCTTTTTACACAAAATGGAAGAAATTTTAAATTCATTTTCAATTTAAATAAAGCTCATATTTTTCTTTATATTATTCCAGTGAGTACTAGGTACAATTAAGTCAAAATACTATAGGCTTATGCATGATAAAGTTTGAATAAAAGCCTAAATATTTAAATCCTGAACAGTTTAACATAGGTGATAGTAAATAAGATTTTTAAAAAACTTTTACTATTAAAAGATGCATTAAGCTGTGCTTTCTGCTATGAGAATTGTTCACAAGTCACTCTAATCTCTCACAATTAGACAAATAACAGAGAGCAGAGTTCCTGAGATTCTCCAAGTGTAAGTGGCAACAGATGATAGTTTTATTTTCTTTTGGAAACAGTCCTAAATGCAATGCCTCAGACATTTTTATTCATGGGAATGAAGTAACAGATGAAACAAATACAGTAAAAAGGTAATCATTAAATTTATTGAAATGTGAGAATTTGGTTGGTCATTGAGAGCAAAGGCTTGTTTTTTTGTGCTGTATCACTGGTAGAATAAATTTAAGTTAAACAAACACATCTTGCAATTCAAAAGCCTTATGGTATAAAATGCAATATTATAACTGTTACTAAACATATGCTTTTTTATTTTGAGCACCAAAATTATGGTTTAATTATATTTTTTCTTGAAATGAGTTTTATAAACACTGTGATCTACTGAATGTGTTTTATTTGCCTGGTGTAAATGCTTTCTACAAAAAATATATGAACATGGGTGGTATAGTTCAGTTCAAATATATATTCCAAACTAAATTTGCAGGAAAAGCATATTTGAAGTATGTGCTTTTTGGGAATGAAAGCATAAAACAGAAAGTTGCATAACTTGTCCATGTTCTTCTCCATCCTGACCATTCTTACTGCTATTTTTTTCTGTACTAGACTCAAACTTGATCTCTCCATAGATAGTCTTAGGGATAGCATATTATACTAATTAAAAATACACACTCTGAAGTGATATTGCCTGGGCTTAAATTCCAGATTTCCATTTACTCAGTATTTGTGTTTCATCAAGTTTCTTAACCTCTTTGAGGCCTTAGGTTCCTCCTCCAAATTA